CATATATGTGTGAACAAATTTTAATAGTTTGACAATAGATTATGATTCTCTCAAAACTAACTGTTTTTTCTCTCAGTTCTTTTATAATTGGACCAAATGTCTGATGTGCACCACCAGTTACAGCCTGGACAGAATATACTATATTCTTTCTATTTGGACTTTGATTTATAACCTCACATGTGTCCATTTCCAATGCCCGAACTATTTTATTCTTTGTTGCCAAGGTTGCAGTGGCAGTGAGGGCCAGGATTGGTATTTTCTTTAGCAGTGAACGCATCTCATTTATCCTGGAAAACCATTTGCGAAAAGCTTGTTCTCCTTTCTTGACTGCATATCCCCTACAAAAAAAATGAAATAAATAATTAACATTCACAAATCAAACATTCACAGACTATCTAATACTTTTACTATAAGATACCCTTATACTTTAATATTTTATACAATCTTACTGTAACATTAATATATTAAATCCTTATTAATATTACTGTAACAAGTCAAGTATGTCAACAAAATATCATCATTTATCATCATTAATAAATGACTAAGTGTTGGCAGTACACAGTACAAAAAAAAATTAAGTAAGCAATTGAAATTAGCATCTTTACCAGTGCTGAATGCAATGAGCTTCGTCTACTGCAACTAAACATACTATATCACGATATACATCACCAGTAAGCATTTTTCGCCATCGACTGCTCGCCAAAAACGCTTCAGGAGAGCCATATACCAGTTGATAATACCCGGTCTCTACATTCCATTTAATTTCTTCATCCGTCTGGTCATCCCCGATAAACGCAGCCTTTATTCCCACTGAATTAAGATACATCACTTGGTCTTGCACCAATGAGGAAAGTGGAGAAATAACTAAGCAAATACTCGGAGACTGAGATGAATGCATCACATCAAATACAATTGGGAAGCTTTGGAAGATCAAAGACTTCCCTGCTCCGGTAGGCAATATCGTTAACACATCCCTACCCATAATAAGACATTTGAGCGCTTTTTCCTGACATTCTGTGAGATTCTGTAGCTTAAAGATTGACTTTATTTTAGATTTCGCTTGAAAATATAGAGTTTCGTCCATAACACTTGTTGCCTCCGCCATTTTTGTCGCTTTTTTGTCGAAAATATGACACGTGTCCTTCCTCAACCAATCAGCACATAACCCTCGAAATTTGGCAGGCTTCGTTTCTATTGGTCGAGACCAACGCCGTTCGACCATTGATCCAGCCGGTGGGGGGAGAGACCCACCGGCTGGATCGAGCCTAGGGGTTAGCGCTTCTGTCGGAAATGGAAATTTGTACTTTTGACAAACAAAGTTCGCCGTGTGTCGCGGGAATTGCCGCAATGGTGAAGAAACCAAGTTCTTTCGAAAGAGGAACGTTCGTGCTATTAGACGATGTGAAATTTATTGCTCTGCGACGATTCTGAGGCGAGATATTGGACTCGATGTCGGAGGGTGTATCAGATAAGTGGCTAGCCTTGTAGTTATTTATGTCCTATACGGCCATGTCGCCCAGTGCCATAGTACTGACGACCGTTCAAGTACGACGAAAACGTAAAGCAATCGCATCAACTAAACTCAGAAACACAACAAATGGATTCTATTAACAAGTGAGATATATTTTTTACATATATTGTTAATATTTTTTGAATTATTCTGTTATTTTAAAATATTATAACAGCTAAATATTCAAAATATATAGGACGTTCAGAGATTGGGCTTCCTGTGGTCGTAGTAATTCGATCTGCATGACACATTGACAACAAGCGCCAAGTTGGATCTTTTGAGAGCAAGCATTCAAAGGAGATTTTTATTCAAATTTTCTATTATAAAGTTCGAAAGACCTAGTAAAATACATGGAATTTGAAAGGAGTATGTCTATTGTGTATTTACTCATTTGTATGCGGATAGTTACTTGACATACTGTAGTTATATTTTTATTAAAATCGAAGGCCTGTATTTTATATTAGTCGCTTCGCGGCCGCTTCACTGAAGGCATCTGGACGTTCAGTTGTAAATTTTCGATTAATTTCTATTAGCAGAAGTCTATAAGTCTAATCTACAGTCTCCACGTATATGTGTTATTAAGAAAATCGTATAGCTTATTTGTGTGATATGCATTTGTATGTTGTAATTTTCTGTTAAATATTTGCTATAAAGATGCTTGTGATGTTTAATACTCTGAGCTAGTGTATATCCACACCGGGCAAGCTTGAAAAATATGCCTGTCCACGGTGGGAATCGAACCTACGAGCTTTGGAATACTAGCCCAATGCTCTGCCAACTGAGCTACGTGGTCAGGTCGGTTCGAGTATGTGATATTTCGGAACAGAATCTAGTTCCTTTGATACCAATGTAATTTAGTAGTCATGATATTTTCTGTGTTGATGCAATGTACTCGGGTGAATATATGCTTGTGATGTTACTCTGAGACTCAGAGTAACATCACAAGCATATATTCACCTGAGTACATTGCATCAACACAGAAAATATCATGATGAGTGTATATCCACACCGGGCAAGCTTGAAAAATACGCCTGTCCACGGTGGGAATCAAACCTGTGGACAGATTTAGAACTAGATTCTGTTCTGAAATATCACATACTCGAACCACAGTTAAGGACTTTGCTCGAACCAACCTGACCGCATAGCTCAGTTGGCAGAGCATTGGGCTAGTATTCCAAAGGTCATAGGTTTGATTCCCACCATGGACAGGCATATTTTTCAAGCTTGCTCGGGGTGCCACTCAGTGTAACACCACAAGCATCATATATTCACCTGAGTACATTGCATCAGCACAGAAAATATCATTTGCTATAACGTTGACATGTATACAGTACTTTTATATATGTGACTTGTTTGAAATGCAGTCACATTAATGGCATATAGACAGCATTGCAATAGCCCATCTCGGCATCTCCCAATATTACCCAATGCATGGCATGTGCTTGCTATGGCTATGGTAACCCTCCTATCGGTCAGCCTAAAACATGTGAAAGGGGCTGCTTATATAGAGGCGAGCCAGCCCAGGTAACTTGGCTATAGCTTGCTTTCCCTGGACGAATGTCTAGTATTTACATGTCTTATGAGCCTCTCTAGATGGGCTCATGGGCAGGCTACGCTCGCCAAAACAAATCACCCAGACTGAGTTGTGTAATAGCAGCACATTTTCAAATAAAATAAATCAACATACTTTTGCAAACAGTTTCGAAATGTAACTGACAAAAACAATCACAGACTGATATCTTTTAATGTTGAAATTGATTGGGAAATGTCATTTTATTAGAAGATTGCATGTAAAATTTAACTGATGGACTTGCATGACATGCTTGATTGAACAGTCACACTACATGCATATTTTACATCTTGTAAATATTCTACATTGAACAGAATTTGACAATTTTACTCATGAAGGAGAGAGGCTGCCATTCAATGGGTTAAAGCCTTTCTTTAATTAAATGGAAATTTTGAACAATAAATATGTAATATATACATACTGTGCCGGGAATGGAACCTTCTGCCCTGTGATTCTGAACAGCTCTTTAACAGCCGAGAGACACTCAAGCCCTGACAGTGCAAGCCCCAAGAGTCCATCAAGCTAATTAGAGTTCATGTATATATGAATTGTAAATGTTCACAGTAAAATTTTAAGCAGAACACCATGAAGCTTTTTATTTAGGTTTGGAGAATACATTTTTGCAGTGTGTATGTATGTATGCATGTGAATAAATATTTATCTCCTTTTGATTTTTGTAGAGTTGGAAAACCGCGTATTCTTGCAGCATTTGCCTTTGAAAAGGCAGCAAGCAAACAAATTCCAGGGGAGCTATTTTTCGAAGTTGTGAATGTAAGTCAATTTTGTATATTTTATGCCATTTAGCTGATTAGTGATGTCAGAACTTATTAACCCTTTAAGCTGCAGAGCTTCTCTATTGACAAGCAAAATCGTCTGGCATTAGACAAGTAGAAAAAAATGTAGGGCATGCTGGAGTGCGTTGCGGCTTAATGGGTTAACTAT